CAAGGCTTCCGCGCTTTGCAGAAATCTTAAGCGGGGGAGCCAAAACCCGGGTCGGCGATCGGCCGGTTGCAGAAAAACCGGGCGGGGGGAGTGTGCTGCTCTTCGCTGCCCCCTCCTGGCGGAGTCCAGTATTGGATTGCTCCTCCCCTCCCCGACCGAAGAAAGGGAATTTAGTCGGACACGCGGAAGCGATGCCTGGCCCCGGGGAAGGGATGGCCGCGTTAAGGGACGAGCCCTCGTGAGCGCCTTCGCGCCACCCATTCGTCTCGCACACGGCGCTCGGGGCAGGCTGCAGGTGGGTGGGTGGGCTGAATGTGCCGGAGGACACACTGGAGGAGACACTGAAGAACATGCTGGAGAACATGCTGAAGGAGATGCTGAAGGACATGCTGGAGGACACACTGCCTCGGAACGTACCTTGGCATCAACACTCATCCAACACACTCAAGTTTGCGCGGTTAGGACAGAACGCTGCTCTTGAAAACCACAACTTCTGCCTAGAAGGCCACACCAACATTTGGAGCCCTGCAGGCTGATGGTTAGATAGCATCACCGAAGCAACGAGCATGAAACTGAGCAAACTCAGGGAGACGGTGAAGGACAGGAAGGCCGGGCGCGATGTGGTTCATGGGGTCACGAAGAGTCGGACACGACTTAACGACTGAACAACAACAACAAGGGTGAGCTCAGCCACAAATCCCGATTCGGGTTGCTCATCCACGCGAGCGAGCTGGCAGGGTCAGAAAGTCGCCCTGGCTGGGGCTGGCAAAGGGGCCGCCTGAGAACCAGCCCAGCGCAACATTTCAGCTGTCGGGTGCTGCGGGGTTCGTTTGGGGCCCTGGGAAACCTGGCTTGCTGAAAAATGGCTGGTGCTGCTGATTTTTCATGACTTTTGGCCTTTCAGGTTTGTTCGCTGTCTCGAGTAGCAATGTGCAAGGAGCCGACGGTGGGAAGATCTAAGCCTTTTGTTGGCGAGGTGGGAAGAGAAAGGAAGAGGTTGGAAAGGAACAGAATAATCCTATTTATTCCCCGATGAATGAAGGGCCCCCAGTGCCGAAGAACACAGGGGGGAAAATGGCTTTAGGACTTGATTCTTGATGTTATTCCTTTTAAGGATATATTCTTTGCGGCCAGGGACTTCTCCGAAGCTCAGGAAAAGTTGACGAACTATTGCACGTGTAGATCAACTTCTTCTGTGATCAGGGCCGTAACCCCGGAGTGTGAGAAGGACGGTTAGCAAGAAGATCAAAGAATCTGCACTTAAGGAGTTGAGAGAGAAATACCCAGTTTTTGAGATTTCGGAAACATGGCCCCCTCTTTTCCCTTCTTTCCTCCCCTTTCAGTAAATCTGGATACTCGGATTTGGGGAACATCTAACTTTTGGGCTGGTGACTTGAGCAGCAGAAGCCCAGGAAGTCCTCAAATAACGAAACACCCCCCTGCAAATATCTTTTAGTTGCACTTTTTAGGCAGAAGAGCAATCTCAGATCTTGCCAATAAGCCTTCAGAGCCCCAAATCGCCATTTCTTTGAATTAGAAATTCTCGTTTTAAGATGAAGCGAGCCCCAGAAAATTCTGCAGGGTGTGGATGTGGGTTTGTGTGTGTTTGTTGTTTTCCAAATCTTTTACTTTGTTCCCCTTTTCATTTTCTTTTCTGCTTCCCTTGATGGGAAAAGCACCCCTTGAGTGGTTTTTTCTTCTATTTTGCATTTTTTCGAAGACTTTCTTTACCGTCGGGAGCGGCCAAAGCCACATGAATTTTTCCAAACGCAGCCCCACTTTTTTTCCCGCACGTGCAGGAAAAAAGGGGTGGCGCGGGGTCTTTTTTGAGATGGGCGTTTTACGGAAGTGAAAAATGAAAAAAAAAAAACCTCTGTTTGGCCCAGGAAGGTGGGACAAAATGTAATAAAATCTGAAGCTCACTCAGTACCGTATAACCTATCATTTCTAACCTGTTCAAAAGTATTTCTTTGTCCTCTCTTCTAGGCGAGTGTCAGATTCTTTATCGAGCTGCGAAAAGCCACAATCTCACGCCGGCTTGCGAGGTACATGTGGCTGGTGGTCTCGAAAACTTTGAAAAGGACGGAAATATTTTAAAAATAGACATTGGAGGTGGAACCAACCGGTCCTGGAAGGATAGAATGGAAATTACAGGGAAGAACATTATTTCAGTTCTGTGGATTGCTTTGTAAGATTGTAAGACATCTGCATTCTTCCTGCCTCAACAGCTGGCAGAACTGGAGTGCCCGTGCGGGGGAACTCCGTTGCCGCATTGTAGATCTAACCCAGTTTTCATTTTATTTATTTTTGATTTATTTAGATTTCAAACTTGGTCACCGCCCATCGAATTGAGCCCCTTCTAGCCGATTGGGACCAAAACGCTCTGAGAAATCTCACCCACCTGATTCTTAAAGTGCTGGAGGAATGGAAATGTAACATTCACGCAGTTACAAATACTGTCCTTTCCTACAAAATGAGCGTGAGGGTGGTTATTTTTCGCCCCCTTTCTGAGAACGCACACGGGACCCGGCGCTGGAGTTGGAAATGCAAACAGAGGGTGGTTGTGTCAATGTGCGAAGTCTGATATTTTCCAATCAGGTTTCTGACGTTATCTGTGGTTCTGTGGCTTCCAGGAATGGTCCACTTTATGAAAAAGTTGTCAGAAAAGTTTTTCTGGGCCAGCCGATGAGAACGCAGGGCTAATCTCTATTAATTGAGCCGTGTTTACACGGTGCAATTTATGGAGCTTGCACAAGAGTTTAAGAGGATCATAAATTCTCAGGTGGACTTGCCTTGATTTGGCTTAAGCGTGCTTAAGTTGTTAATGCGTTGGCAAAGCACGCTAGGATTGTGCAAATTTGGAACATCTGTGACTTGGAAATGGCCTGATTAGGATCGGAAAGATGGTCTTGTGTTGACTCCGGGTGTGAGTTGCGGGCAGGAGAATGGGACTCCCACTTGAGGGACCCTTCCCTTCTTTTGAAGCTCCTTTTTGAGCTCTGCCAGCTGAATTTGGAGCAGGAAACTCAGCGCCGACCTCTGGGTCTAGGGCCTGACCTTCTGATGCTGAAGACGGCGGGAAATGCTGCTTGTCCCCAGGTTGCAAAACTCGTTTTAAAAATCTGGGGATAATTTAAAAAAAACACCCAAAGTTGGTGTGGCTTGAGGGTTAGCTGAATGAGTGTGTTGCATACCAACCGCAAATGCTGGTCATCTTCCAGGGCAGGTCCACACAGGGCAAATTGCAGTACGCTTAGCGGATGCCAAGCCTGAATCACTGCCTGGTCTTCCTTTCTTTGATGGTAGTAAACAATGCCCTAATCAAGGAACTACCAGAGGGGGAAAAAAGAAAAAAACCACCAACATTGGCAGGGCATGCCACAGTATATAAACAGGGAGCAAACCCCTCTCCCTTCTAGCACTGAAGAGGTTACCTAGTTGGGTAACGAAATGTTTGCAAGAAAACAACCAGGCTTGGAGAGCCCCAAGGACTCCACATTTCAACCCTGAGCTACACATATTCTCTTCTATTGCTACCTTTGGTTTACCCAACTCCCAGAATTCCCCAGCCAGCATGCATGCTCTCTGGGGAATTCTGGAGTTTGAAGTCCACCCATGCTGGCTGAGGAATTCTGGGAATTGAAGGCCACCCAGGCTGGCTGGGGAATCTGGGAGTTGAAGTCTACCCACACTGGCTGGGGAATTCTGGGAGTTGAAGGCCACCCATGCTGGCTGGGGAATTCTGGGAGTTGAAGTCTACCCATGCTGGCTGGGGAATTCTGGGAGTTGAAGGCCACCCGTGCTAGCTGGGGAATTCTGGGAGTTGAAGGCCACCCGTGCTGGCTGGGGAATTCTGGGAATTGAAGGCCACCCACGCTGGCTGGGGAATCTGGGAGTTGAAGTCTACCCACGCTGGCTGGGGAATTCTGGGAGTTGAAGGCCACCCATGCTGGCTGGGGAATTCTGGCTTGAAGTCCCCACATCTTCAAGTTGCCAAGTTTGAAAATCCCTGGTTTACAGCCTTTATTAATGCCTTTCAAAAAGGATACACGCTGATGCTTCCTATGGGAAGAAACCAGCTAATCACTTTAATTTCATCTGAACCTCTTCCTGAGTTCCCCTGTCAACTCATTTTGTTGTTGAAAAAGACACGGCACAGATTAAAAGTGACTCAGAAGCGTCATTTTTTTGCCCAGTAAACAGACTCATTGCTGGCATCTAAAGCTGGGCCAGGAATCAAAGCCATTCTGTTTGCTTTCTGATTTTCCCCAGATCTCCTAACTACAGTTTCCTCATTGCGTAACATCGTCTTGCCTTCTTCATTATCCATTTTTTGGGAAACCGGGAACAGGTCAAAAGGATGGTCTGCTGTGATTTTGCCTTTGTCCCAGAAATTGGCATCATTACTGCAGCTGTTCTGAGAAAATGATGCCCACCAGGGGTGGAAAAGGGGTGGAACTCCCTGCCTTGAGCAACGGTGGTCAGATGGCTTTGAAAAGCGGGTTTGGGGGCCTTTCACGGCCCTGAGATCCAGCGGCTATACAGCCCTCAGTTCTTGGGGCAAAAAGATGACTTTGGGGGTTCCTAAAGGCCCCTGATAGCCCCCCCTCTCCCCCCAAAAGCAGGACTTCAGCAAAAACCTCCCCTCGGATCCAGCGTTTCTCAGACTTGGTCCCTTTAAGAAGGGTAGACTGCAACTCCCAGAATTCCCCAGCCAGCACTCATGACTTTGGGGGTTCCTGAAGGCCCCTGATAGCCCCCTCCCTCCCCCCCAAAGCGAAAACCTCCCCTTGGATCCATCCGCCTCTCCCTGGGTTCCATCTGTCCTTCAGCAATGGAGCCTCCACGATCAGAGGTAGTCTATCGCCCTGCGGCATTGGAAAATCTTGGTCATCCTGTCGGGCTTCAAAGAGACACGCGGGCACATATCCAACCTCCCTAATAAGAATTCTCACACGTTTTAAGACTTTTGTCTCCGCCTCCCGTCAATGCAATCCAGGTATTAATTGACGTTTGAAGGATGTTTTCGCACTTGCTGCCTCTCTGGCACAGCGGGCAAGACCCTCCTGGTCCTGCATTTGGTGAGTTGTAAAATTCTGCAGCATCTCGGTTGGCATTCTTCCTGCTCCATCTTCCCTGCAGGGTGCCAACGTTTTTCCAAGGCGTGAGATTGGCATTCGACAGGTGGGAGCAGCATGCCACCCTGTGATGGTGCCAGAAAGAAGGAAAAGGGTTATTTCGGGTTGGCAGAATGGGGGAAAAGTTATTTCCGGGTGGCACAATGGGGGAAAAGTGATTTCAGGGTGGCACAATGGGGGAAAAGTGATTTCAGGGTGGCACAATGGGGGAAAAGTGATTTCAGGGTGGCACAATGGGGGAAAAGTATCTTAGG